ATGTTGCAGAGTCAGCAGGCATGACCCGCATCCACTATCAAGGCGAGCCTGCAGCCTGTCCCCCACCACACCATCTCCTGAAAGAACGTCTCATTTGCTCTCGGAGTCAAAAGGAAAAGAACAAAGCGGGGAAAGTGTTGTCCACAGGTGACAGAAGGCAAAAGTTCTTTAACATTTAACCTGCCGCAGGGCCGGGCGCAGTGCTCACGGCTGTCATCCAGCACTTTGGGAGGCTGAGGCGGGTGGATCATGAGGTCAGGAAGTTGAAGACCAGCCTGGCCAACATGGTGAAACCCCATCTCTACTAAAAATACAAAAATTAGCTGGGCGTGGTGGTGCACACCTGCAATCCCAGCTACTTGGGAGGCTGAGGCAGGAGAACTGCTTGAACTGGGACCTGGGAGGAGGGGGTTGCGGTGAGCTGAGACAGGGCCACTGCTCCAGCCTGGGCTACAGAGCGAGACTCTGTCTCAAAAAAAAAGAAGAAAAAAGGCTGGTTGTCGCCCTTCTAAAGGCTGAGCCTCCCGGTAGCTAGGAGGCTGCATGGAAGCCGAAGTGGCAGCTCCCACATGGCCCCTCTGGCCAGCTGGGCCCCTCAGGTGAGAGCTGCACCCAGGCCAGCACCAGCCACTCAGCCACCAGCAGTAGCCCCCTGCTGCATTGGCTCTCCTGCCTCTGTGTCTGGGCACCAGGTCTGCTGGCCCAGATGGCCACCGCTGCAGCCAGTGTGGCTGTGGGCTCCGCTGCGGGGCACACACTGGGCCACGCCACTACTGGGGGCTTCCGTGGAGGAAGTGATCCTGAGCCTTCGAGGCCTGACACCACTTACCAGGAGCCTCAGGGAACCCGGCCGGCACAGCAGCGGCAGCATTGCCCCTGACATCAGTTTGTGGACTGTGCCCAGAACCAGGGTGACATCGGGTTTCAGTGAGGTGCTGAAACAGTGTGACTTGCAAACAGATAGGCCTAATCAGGAAGTTCAACCTGGAGAAGTGGAAAAGCAGCTCTCATAACCAAGTTAATTTAATACAAAAATTTAATTGATAATGAAGGTATGAAGTGTAGCCATCAGTTAAACCTGTCATTCCTGGCTTCCTTGTTTCAGAATTCAAATGGAGGGGAGTGTTCCTAGAACTTGGAGCTGGGCAAATGTTTTTTTTTTTTTGAGACGGAGTTTCACTCTTGTTACCCAGGCTGGAGTGCCAATGGCGTGATCTCGGTTCACCGCAACCTCCGCCTCCTGGGTTCAGGCAATTCTCCTGCCTCAGCCTCCTGAGTAGCTGGGATTACAGGTACACACCACCATGCCCAGCTGATTTTTGTATTTTTGGTAGAGACGGGGTTTCACCATGTTGACCAGGATGGCCTCGATCTCTTGACCTTGTGATCCACCCGCCTCGGCCTCCCAAAGTGCTGGGATTATAGGCGTGAGCCACCGCGCCCGGCCCTGGGCAAATGTTTGTGTGGCCTCCTTCAACGAGCTGTTATGATTTTATTCTTTGTAAGTTAATTAGAATAAAGTGATTTTCTTCCAAAAAAAAAAAAAAAAACCTGCTGCAGTTCAAGAAAATGATGAAAAACTGGAGGAGGGAGGTAACTGGGGCCCTGCAGAGGGACGAGCCCAGTAACTGGAGGCGCTCAGCTCTGAGCAGATGAAGACTCACAGCTGACACAGCAGCTCTCAGCTATCCTGCCCGCAAGACTGCGCAGACACCACCCACCCGCACTTCACAGAGAAGCCACGTCCACACCACTGACACCATGCCCATGCCGTCCACCCTTCACAGGCACATGGAGAAGCCAGGTCTGTCTAGGTGCCTGGCACAGCACGGCACAGGGACAGTGTGCCATCAGCTGCTCTCGTGAGAAACAAGTCCAGATTCTTGTGCTGGAATACTGACACACCCGTCTCCGGACACACCAGAGCGTGGCTGCTCCCAGGGTGTGGGGCGTCCAGGGCTGTTGGCTTTGTACTCCCCTCTTCTGTGAAGCTGGACTTTTTTTTTAAACCAATAGCACATATTTCTTCTAACTTAAAAAAAAAATTTAAGATACAGAAACCATAAAAAATAAATGGAACTAATTATAAATAATTACTTACAAAGAATTGGCCAGGCGAGGTGGCTCATGCCTAGAATCCCAGCACTTTGGGAGGCCAAGGTGGGCGGATCATGAGATGGAGACAGTGGTCTGCCTGCCTCAAGAGATCAAGGCCAATCTGGCCAACATGGTGAAACCCTGTCTCTGCTCAAAATACAAAACTTAGCTGGGCACGGTGGCGCACACATGTAATCCCAGCTGCTTGGGAGGCTAAGGCAAGAGAATCGCTTGAACCACTGAACTGCAGCCTTGGTGACAGAGCAAGACTCCGCCTCAAAAGAAAGAAAAGAAAAAAGAAAAGAGAAGAAAAAACCAAGTAACACATGGAGACACAAAAATAGAAAATGCTGATACCTCTCTGGCTTAAAGTTAGTGGAAAACTCTAACCTAAAATGACTAATTTCCCTCTTAAATTACAACCGTTCTAATTTGTACTGATTTTATTTCTTCCTTTTGAGACAGGGTCTCCGTCACCAAGTTGGAGCGCAGTGGCACAGTCTCGGCTCACTGCAGCCTTGACCTCCGAGGCTCAAGCCGTCCTCCCCCCTCAGCCTCCTGAGTAACTGGGACTATAGGTGCACGCCACCATGGCGGCTACTTTTATTTTTTGGTAAAGACGGGTTTTTGCCATGTTGCTGGCAAACAGCAGGGCCCCAGACTCCACAGGGAAACTGGTGCCCTCACAGTCTCCTGTTAGGTGTGTTGATGGATTGAGCAAATGGAGAGACCTAAGGTTAGAGCAGCCCTGGGGACTTTTCTGTGAAATGGGGAGGATGTGCCTCTGGCAGACACCTGAAGCCCCTGATTTCCTGTGGAAACGAGCTGGTCAAAGGGCCCCAGCACAGGCAGATGAGCGCTTTTGTCCCACAGTGGCAGACAGCAGGGGTGTAGATCTCTGCTACTCCAGTTGGGGCCCTGAGACAGACACCAGGAAAGGCTCTTCCCCTAGTGCGGTGGGGCAGGGAGGAAGCAGGCTGGAGTGCCGGTGAGCCCCACCCCACCCCCAGGGACCTAGTGGTTCCCTATTCACTGACTTAAGCCAGATTGGAGTCGCTGGAGCCAGCCAACCTTCATGCCCTTTCACTTTAGAGGGATTTTTGTGGGCTGGCAGTGGCTCACATCTGTAATCCCAGGACTTCAGGAGGCCAAGGCAGGATTACGAAGTCAAGAGATTGAGACCATCCTGACCAACGTGGCGAACCCCCAAGTCTACTAAAAATTAGCCAGCTGTGGTGGTGTGTGTCTGTGGTCTTAGTGAGGCTGAGGCAGGAGAATGACTTAAGCCTGAAAAGTGGAGATTGCAATGAGCCAGGATGGTGGCACTGCATTCGTCTGGTGACAGCAAAACTCCATCTCAAATTTAAAAAATTGTTTTTAAAAATGGTTTGAGCCTAGGCACAGGCTCCCAACCTGCCCCCTTGCACTTTCTGAGATGGAGTTTCCCTCATCATCCAGGCTGGGGTGCAGTGGCACGATCTCAGCTCACTGCAATCTCTGCCTCCTGGATTTAAGCAATTCTCCTGCCTCAGCCTCCAGAGTAGCTGGGATTACAGGCATGTGCTACCACACTAGGCTAATTTTTTCATTTTTAGCAGCTATGAGGCTTTGCTACGTTGGCCAGGCTAGTCTTGAACTCCTGACCTCAAGTGATTATGTGTGCCTCGGCTGGGATTACAGGCGTGAGCCACCACGCCAGGCCCTCCCTGCACTTGAAATGATTGCCATACAAGCTGAACACAAACTCGGCACACACACCTTAGACAGGAAGACGGTAGCCAACAGCCCTCCAAATCACTGGATGTTCAGCATGTTTCCTAACAAGCCAGACATTGTCGCCTATCAAGTATGGGCACCAGAGGTACTGGCACCAGCTACGTCAACAGTGCCCAGGTGCCCCCACACCTGCACCTGGCAGAAACGTGGACACAGTACCTGGCTGGGCCCCTGAGGCCACATCTCTGGGGTTGTCATGGCCAGACTGTGTTTGAAAACCTCATGAGAAACCATGCTGCCCTTGGACCCGGAACGGGGCTGCCCACCTCAGACCCCCCTATACTATCTGGCTCCCTCTTGTCCACGAAGCAAGAACAATGGCTTCAGAATGTTTTACAATTGCCAGAGAGGCCAAAACTCAGCAGGGCCATCTAATACCATGGCGTCCGGGTGAAGACAGCCAGTGAAGGATCAGAGCAGGATGACCTCAGTCACCAGGCACAAAGGGTTCAACAGTGAGGCCCCGAAAAAGATGCTACATTGACTGGAAACTACTCTGCTTAAAGTAGGCAACTCCAGGCTGGGTGCAGGGGCTCACGCCCATAAACCCCACTACGTGGGAAGCTGAGGGACAATTCCTCGAAGCCATGAGTTCAAGGGTGCAGTGAGCCAGGAATGTGGCACTGTACTCCAGCCCTCTCCATTTTTTCGGCTGTTGTTGGCCAGATGGGAGTGCAGTGGTGTGATCGTGGCTTACTGCAACCTCTGCCTCCAGGTTCAGGCAATCCCCTCACCTCAGCCTCCTGAGTAGCCAAGACCACAGGTGTGCACATCATCACGCCCAGCTAATTTTATTAGAGACAGGATTTTGCCATGTTGGTGAGGCTGGTCTTGCATTCCTGAGCTCAAGTGGCCTCCCAACGTGCTGAGATTACAGGTGTGAGCACCAGCCCAACCTTGTCTCTCTAAAAAGAAAAACAAAGAGCACCTCTGGTAAGTCAGCCTCTGTAACCTCCCCACAAGAAAACCATCTTAAATCAATCACTAGCCAAGCAAGCAATATAGCTTTCACAGAAAATGAGACATGATCCAGGGCTGGACTGTCTTCCAAGAACACCCCAAACCCCCTGCCAGGAAGTCACAGCTGCCAAGCCCCATCCCAGACACAGCTGTTCCTACGAAACACATCACGTGGAGACCCAGCATGACCGCTGATTTATTACAAGTCCCCAAAAGGGCTTCATTTTTTCTTTTCCACGTCCTGTTCTGCAGCTTCCTTGGCTCTTTTTGCTCGTATGCCGAAGAGCCGGGCATTGGCACGGGCCATGCGGAGACTAGCGAAGGCTTTGAAATTCTTCTCCTCCTCAGTGATGACTCGTGCTTTCTCCTTCTTGTAGACCTAGAAGAGAGGAACAGGGTGTTAAACACACAAGAATCACTGGGCAAGATCACAACCAGGCGTCGGCAGAGCCCAGGAGACAGCCTTGGGGGAGCAGGTATACTGCTCAGGCACTGCTGAAAAGCGACCCTGACTTTGCTAAGGAATCACCTTCCCTAAGATTTAAAAAAAAAAAAAAAAAAGAAAGAAAGAAAGAAAGAAATAACCCTCCCTGAGCCAGACACGGTGGCCCAGGCCTGTAAACCCAGAAATTCAAAAGCAACGCAAACAACACAGAGAAACTCTTTCAACTCTCCCAACGTAGGGCTTCGTGGGTGCAAACAAAGCCAGAAGGAAACGTTCCTTTCCACAAACCTCCACACACTACAATTGCCACTGTTCTCTTTCTTAAGCCTGATCCCCGCCTCAAATTCACCCACTGATCTTGTCTAAAGCCTGGACTGGAGCAGGCATCCACTTACATTCCGGATGGGCATGACTGGTCCTGTCAGCTGGGTGGCGAGCTTCAGTTCCTCAGCCTGTTGGGGAATGAGATAGTTCAGTGGGTTGAGCCCCTCTGCCCCAAGGACGCCACACTCACCTAGCCCATAACTTCCCCTCGGATCACGTGTTCGGGAACCAGGGTCAGCCTTCCCTGAAACACTCTGTGGCCCCAGTGTTGAAACAGTCATTATTAGATCGTGAAACAACTATCTTACTGAGCTGACACAGAGAATCAACTGCCTGTGAACCAGGGTCTGGGCTGAGAACTGCTCCCTAATTCAGCTACCAGGAAGCCCATACAATGGGCTCTTATCAACTTCACCCTACAAGGTTTTCCTAGAAATAGTCTGGAGTACAACCATTTTAGGGAGAACAACGATGTCAATGGAAAAAGTTGGCTCCAAACCACACTGCCTTGCCATGACGGCCGAGCAGAAGGCAGCACCCCACCTTGGCAGTCCTGATTGGCTCACTGTCTACTCCTGCACGAGGCCATGTTTTGCTAACAGAACAGCCACAATGTTGTGACACCTCTCACCCCAGCTGGACACAGGGACGGGTGTCCCCGCCTGCCAGGACGGCCAGAACGCCCCATACTCACAGAACTGTCGCCCTTCTGCGGGGCCGAGGGCTTCCTGGGGAACAGGATGAGTTTGGAGCGGTACTCCTTTAGCCGCTGCACGTTGGCCTGCAGGGACTCGGTGGACTTATTCCGCCTCCTCGGGTCCACAGAAATGCCAATGGTCCGGGCCACCTTCTTGTGAATGCCGGCCACCTGCCGCAGAACCAGAGCGAGATGGAGACAGGCCCGGACTGTCTCCAGCCCCGAGGCGCGGATGAAAAGCCTCAGCGATCAGATGGAAAAGGGTTCAAATGTGCTTTCATCAAGGCCGTACAGCGATTCCGGAGAATGTCATCACGCGACTGAGGCCAGCAAAGCGGACTTCGGGCGCCTCCCGACACCGCGCGTGGCCAGAACTCACCCTGAGCTCCTCCAGGCTGAAGCCGCGGCCGGCGCGCACCTTCGTGTGGTATCGAACCGTGGGGCAGCGCACGATGGGCCGGATGGGCCCCGACGCGGGGCGCGGGGCGATGCGGCGCGCCTTGGCTTGCCGGGCCTTGCGTCTGGCGGAGAGAACCCAGCGGGTCAGCCTCGCCCAGGGCGGTCGGGCAAGCGCCCCCCGCCCCGGCATCGCCCGCCCCCCACCCTAGGCGCGGCCGCCGGCACGAGCCCCAGGAGCAGCCGCGGGCGCAGGGCTCACCTACGGATCTTCCGGGCCGGCTGGTTGAACCACGTGGCCACGCGCCGCTGCCAGTCCTTGTGGAAGTGGGGCTTCAAGATCATGCCATTCCGGCTGGGCGCCATGGCTGCCTACGGCCCTGCGGCTGCGGATGAAATCGGAGGGAGTGAGGACCGGGCACCGGCTCGCGCACTCCCCAGGCCTCCGCCCCGCACCCTCCATCCTGGGCCGTCCGGCCGCGTTTAGAGCCCGGGACCCGGCCCCACGCTGTCTGTGAAGCAGAAAAGGCTCCTCCATGCCCGCGCTGCCGACAGCACCAGGCCGATGGCCCTGGATGGAGCCCGGAGGCCGGGAACCAGCCTCACTAACCTCCGCGCAGGACAACAGCCGAGCGAAAAAGAAACGGCGCCGCAACGCACCCTGGGATGATAGCCGGGCGGAACAACCAGAAGTGCCGGGCGCTCTGACCAATCAGAGCCCGGGAAGGAGGAAGTGACGTCGCAGCGGCTCTCCCGGCAATTCTGGCCCCGCCCTTGCAAACATGGCGCCACCCTGAGTGCGGCGGGGCGGGAACCCGGCAGGTAGACGTTGCGATGAGCCGAGATCGCACCACTGCACTCCAGGCTAGGCAACAGAGCAAGACTCAAGTCCCAAAAAAAAAAAAAGGAATTTCGGCCGAGCGCGGTGGCTCACGCCTGTAATCCCTCAGAGGCCGACGCGGGCGGATTACGAGGTCAAGAGTTCGAGACCAGCCTGGCCAATATGGCGAAACCCCGTCTCTACTAAAAATGCAAAAATTAGCCGGGAGTGGTGGTGCGCGCCTTTAATCCCAGCTACTCGGAAGACTGGGACAGGAGAATCTCTTGAATCCGGGAGATGGAGGTTGCTGTGAGCCGAGATCACACCACTGCACTCCAGCCTGGGCAACAGAACGAGTCCGCGTCAAAAAAGAAAAAGGTTTTTTTCCACAAACCAGGCACGGTGGCTCATACCTGTAATCCCAGCAGTTTGGGAGGCCGAGGCGGGTGGATCACCTGAGGTCAGGAGTTTGAGACTAGCAGAGCCAAAATGGTGAAACCCCATGTCTACTAAAAACAAAAAATTGGCTAGGTGTGGTGGCGGGTGCCAGTTATCCCAACTACTCAGGAGGGGGAGGCGAGATCGTGCCACTGCACTGCAGCCTGGGCGACAGAGCAAGACTCTATCTCAAAAAAAAAAAAAAAAAAAAAGAAAATAGCCGGGCATAGTGGTGTGTGCCTCTGATCCGTTACTTGGGAGGCTGAGTAAGGGGGATGACCTGAGCCCAGGAGATCAAGGCTGCAGTGAGCCGAGATGGCACCACTGCAGTCTAGCCTGGGTGACAGAGCAAGACTCTGTCAAAAAACAACACAACAAAAACAAAAAAACATTACTGAGGACACCACTCTTGGGTATAGCAGCTAAAAACCTCCCAACTGCATGCTGGCCTTTGGTAATGGAGTTGGAGAACTGGGGCAAAGGTCAGAGTCTCTCTCAGAGATGCCCACCCTTGGGTGTGTGACAGCACCTGCACCTGCCTCCCTACAACTCAGCTGGCGTTTTTGGGGGGCATTCAGTGTTGCAGCAACACTAGGACAATCCATTCACGTCACTGCACCACAGGAGGCCAGAGTGTGAGCTGCATGCTCTGAACACAGGGCCAGGCCCACTGCTGGGTATCCGTCCTGGGTCATCCTCTCTTCCTACAGGGTCCAGGCCCCAGATTCCTACAGGAGTTTTCCACTTAGCCCCTACATTACTCAAATTATAAACTGAAAACACAAGCCCACCAGCTCCTCTGTGTTACGGCTGGTCAGACAATGCACTTGTAGATTTTTCCATCCACAGAGTTTATTAGTGAAGTAACTCAACAATTCTCATGTTAATAAAAACCAATGCATCCCAACACTGCATGACTAGACCAGCGAGAAGTCCTCAAACTGCACCTGTCCACACGGCAGCAGGTGGCAGTGCTGAGTCCTCTAGAGCCCAGTTTCTGGGCCTGTGTAGCTTCATTGATGAGTGAGCTCCATGACAGAGCCGCTGGAGTCAGGACAATCGGCTCAGAGGGTCCTTTCATGTCCGATCCCCTTAGCATTCCGAGGGAGCCACGGAAACTGAACGGCTGTGCAGACGTCAGCATGAACAGGGGTCTGTTCAGAGTCTGAATGCTGTGCGGTCTCTGGGTGGCCTCAGCCACACTGGGAAGGGCTGTGTCTGTAACCCTGGGAACTCGAGGTGTCCCATGCTCACTTGGGAAAGCACTAATAACCTTCCCCATGGGGGAAACAATGCACAAACACAAGGCTCATTCAGCTGTTTCGGAAGAGAAATTTACAATCGTGAAAAGGGTAATCAATAAAGAGATCTCAGAAGCCGCTGTGCAGAGACTACTGAGGGCCCCAAGAGCAAGTGCAAAGCTCAGCTGAAAAGAAACGCAGGGTGGCTGAGTGAGCCGCTCACTTCTTGGATCACCCGCACGTGCGGCCAACACGTCCCAACTACTTTGGCCAAGATGGCTCTTTGCCTCAAAGTGGGGGCTGCTGGGCCTCTTCCGCCGCCTCCTCCTCTCCAGAGTCCTGCTTCTCCCTCTGGGCGTCGATCCACCTCTGTGGCGCGATCATTTTCTTAGGCCCATGGGGCGGTGGGCCAATGAGAGCCTCAATGTCCTCATAGTTTATCACTTCCTTTTCCAGAAGGGCATTTGCCAGCTAGAAAGAACAGGCAGAGCAGTGTGAGTCCCAGGACAGACACAGAGCAACTCTAAGTCTCGGGGAGGCGGCGGGAGGTGTGAGGGCCTGCCTGTGGGCAGGACACCCTGGACAGGCCACTTTCCCAGGGAAGCGGAGGCACGGAGGCAGCCCTGAAAGAACAATCACCCCCATCTCAGCCTCACAAATGATTTCCGGCGGCCAGCCTCATTAATTTTTCTACTTCCCTTCAAAATCTTGGCTTATTTTTGGCAACTGCAATTTCCTTCACCAAACAAGGTGTGTGTGTCTACAGGGAAGGGGATGGTTTGTAAAAGGCTGCACCCTCCTGACTGGAAACTGAGGACCGGGAAGAAGGAATCAGGTGGTGTGTGAGCTGGGACCTCACAATTTGGGGAAGGGAATTCCTGCCACTCCAGCTGGGATCCTGGAAAACACTGATACTGAGTGTCCTGTGCTAGCAGCCCTGCCTCTGCTGCGGCCTGGGCGACCACAGAAAACACTGCCACAGCCACATTTCCCTAGTTTCTGTCAAGGCAAAACTCTTCCAGATTTTCTTTTATTTTTTTTTAAACTGCCTGCTCCTTTCCTCACTCTTCCAAATTTTCTAAAGAAAACGGTAATTCCTGAAGCCACAGTGATTTACCTGCAGCTGTATTCCAGGAGACACACATTTCCTCTCCAGGGCTGCTCTGAGATTTTTACTAGGTTCTGCAACCCACTGAGTGTGTGAATGGCTGGCGGTTCACACACAGGGCCGACACTCCACTCCACAGCCAGTGAGAGAGAAGCCAGAAGCCTCGCCTGGAGCTTTGCCCTTGCCCACTCTGGCTTCCCGTGTTGAGTCTTCATTCTGCAAAGCTGCTTCGTCAGCCATGACGTGCAGGATGACTCGCAAGATACCCTGCCTGCAGGCAGGTGCTGCTTCAGAGGGAGATGGCACTGCCCACACCTCCCCCAAGGTGCTGCTGCTGCTTGGGGATGACACTCCAAGGGTCCCAAACACAGGATACCCATGTGACACAACCGTGCCTCACTTGAAAGAAATAAGGGGAGCTGAAGAAACAACTACCCTTCCCCTGCCTCCCCATCTGTTCACAACATGGGACAGAGAGCCAATTCACCTCTCCTGAGTTCTAAGCAGCAGTTACCAGGACCCAAATATAAAATTGTTTTTTGTATTTTTAGTAGAGATGCGGTTTCACCATGCTGGCCAGGATGTTCCCGAGCTCCTGACCTCGTGATCTACCCGCCTTGGCCTCCCAAAGTGCTGGGATTACAGGCGTGAGCCACTGCGCCCAGCCAAAACTTTATTTTAAAAAAAAGTTCAAGAAGAAAGTTTAAGAGCTGTAAAAAGATTAAACACAACTGACAAAATACTGGTAACTGCTAATGCCAGGTAACAGGCACAGGAGATGCTGTGGCAGCTTCCTTCTACCTTGATGGAGCACCCGTGACGTGTTCATGATCAAAGTATGGAAAATATAAGGTAGAATTCCCATTGACCAGAGTGTTCTCTGCACTCTCGGACCACGGGGACTGTGAGGACTGTGAGGCGTGGCGGCCTCCCCGCTGGCTGGGGCCTCACCGCCTGCAGCTTGTCCAGGTTCTCCTGCAGCACCTTCTCGGTGTGTCTGTAGGCCTTGGCCACCAGCAGTCTTGCTTCCTGTGAGTGGAGGAAACTGTGTGAGGGGCAAGGCTGGCTGCTGGCTCCAGCACCAAAGCACAGAAAAGAAACGCAGGGCTGGAAAACATGGCCTTTCCCCTCCCAGGATGGCAGGACTCCTCGGCTAGCAGGTCTCCTGCCCCTGTGACCCCTGCCAGGAAAGCAGGGCCCCCCTGCCTGCCCACCCACCACTCATACCCACAGCTGCCTCACAGGCACACAGCCGGCCCTTCCTGGCCCAGTCTGAAGGCCATGTGGGCCTGGCTCTATCGCTCAGTTTATTTGATATTCTTCCCAGATTCACGTCTATAATTTCATCAGAAGCATCTGTGTCCTCCACAGGTCAGAGCTACCGCAGAGCCCAGAAGGAAGAAAGCCACATGGGGCCTGGAGCTGAGCTCAGCTGGGGCGGCCCTCATGTGGCAAGCCCGGGGAACTCCCTTCCCGGGGGAGCACGTAGCACAGCGCGAGGCCAGAACAGACTCACATGATCCATCATCTGCTGCAGGCCTTGGCTGAAGGGGCGCCGCCCGATGTCCACAAGGCTCTCCTGTGCCTCAGGGAAGGAGATGGGCCCGATGCCAGGTGCCATCCCAAACTGCTTCACCATGGAGTAGGCAATGCGGGTGACCTTCCTCAGGTCATCCTGTGCCCCTGCAGGGTGGTCAAGACAGAGGGACCCTCAGCACTGCAGGCGCACAGCCGCGCTGGCCCAGGCATCCTGGTCAGAACCCTGGGGCTGCACTGTGCCTTCCCATCCATTTCCTCCCAAGGAATCCCACCATGAAGCTGGACAGCATGGACGTCGGCACCTCACCACTGTTCCTTAAGAGAGCCTTAAAACTTTCAAAAATGCTCTTCGTTTAGAAATCTAGAACGGGGGGTGCATCAGAGCTCACTGCAAGGCAGTTCTCAAGCACAAGCCTGACCTATGTAAGGCAAACCTGAGGACCCGGAGCCCAGGGGTCCCAGGGCCCTCCTTCAGCTTGGCACATCCCAGTGAAGTAACAGCTTGAGAACAGTCAAGCTGCATCAATTTCATTCCGTTTCCTGTAGACATTACCAATAATTAACCAATTAAA